GGCGCGCCCAGGGCTCAGCACGCCCCGAGGCGGTGCGGCGCTGCTGGCCGTCTGTGTACACAAGGGAAGGGCAGCAGAACACGCTGCAGTAGACAGCACCACACACATCGATCTACGTTGCGACGGTCAGTCTTACGCTCGTGTCCACCGTTTTGTCTTATGCAATTCAACATGCGATTGTGCACTGTGCGCGGAATGCATCGCAGTACTGGCTTTTTATACGAATGGCGATGAAAAGAAACGGGTGTCAGCATGACAACATGTGGTGTGACGTCATTCGCCCATCTCGGCACCATTAGCAGGAGACCGGCGACACACTGCATCACGTCACCCCCCGCCTGACAACCCAAAAGCTTCCGCAACACGGAGCAAGAGACGGCCTGGAAACCGTGTGACGTCATCCAACCTCTTGAGCACTTCCCAGAGGGCACGGGGACGCCCCGGGCGCCACACGTGACTCACCCGCCTAAGTATCACCAGCCGAGAGCGACTGACCGACGATACGACGTCACTCACACGCCTAAGCATCACCAGACGAGAGCGGCCGACCGACGGTATGGCGTCACTGACCCGCCTGGGCATCACCAGCCGAGAGCGGCCGACCGACGGTATGACGTCACTCACCCGCCTGGGCATCACCAGCCGAGAACGGCCGACCGACGGTATGACGTCACTCACCCGCCTGGGCATCACCAGCCGAGAGCGGCCGACCGACGGTATGACGTCACTCACCCGCCTGGGCATCACCAGCCGACAGTGACTGACCGACGGTATGACGTCACTCACCCGGCGGAGCACGGCCAGCAGCGAGCGTGTGACTGGCTGCAGGCTGGGCGAGGCGGCCGCCTCGGCCAGCGGCAGGTAGTGCGGCGGGCCGGGCGGCAGGCTGAGCAGCTGCCGGTACTGCAGGTCGTCGCCCTCGAACAGCGTCACCGCCGAGCTGTTCTCGCTCAGCTTCAGCGAGAACGGACTGGGCGCCGGGCGGAGCGGCCGTCAGACGCTAAAGCAGCGTCAGCCGTCCGTTCATTAGCGGGGTGCTGTCTGGTGCTCAGGTTCAGCGAGAACGGACTGGGCGCCGGGCGGAGCGGCCGTCAGATGCTAAAGCAGCGTCAGCTGTACGTTCGTTAGCGGGGTACTGTCTGACGCTCAGGTTCAGCGACAACAGACCGGACGCCGGGCGGAGCGGCCGTCACACGCCCAGGCAGCGTTAGCTGTCCGGTCGTTAGCGGGGTGCTGTCTGGCGCGTCCTTAGCCAGCGCCGGCACGCCTGGTGGTACAGCGTCGCGACCCTTTCAGGTGTGTGCTGGGGGACAAGCCTCCCCCTGTGCATATCTGATGAAGCTTTCTCACACCAACGACGTCGTACGTACTTGCAGTAAGCGATAACATACGATTGCAGCATCCGACCGCAGCAGGCGATGACTGCGACATTTAGGCAGTACCTATCGACCGCATGAGAAAACAACGCTCCCGACCGCAGCAGGCAATGACTGCGACATTTAGGCAGTACCTATCGACCGCATGAGAAAACAAAGCTCAGAGCAAATCACAGGGGTCCAGGGGAGCGCAACGATCCGATGCGTCCACGTCCCTGACGACATCCGGTTGGCACGCGTGCGGCACGCAGGTCGCAGCCAGACCCGGCACTGCCTGGGCACGTGACCCGGCCGGGCGGCAGGGTCGGCGCCTGACCTGGTGGCGTGCGGCCGGTAGTTCTCGTCAACGTCCGTCGGTTGGCGGATCACCACCACCGGGCTTTGGAGCAGCACTGAAACACGGCCGGTCGGCGGTCAGCCGGCGGCCGGCGCCCTCCACGCGCCGCGCCAGACAGCCGCTGCCTCGGTCACGAACGCTCGGATTGGCGTGAACTTCATCTGCTTGGTTTGGCGGACTGACGGCGGTGCTCTCCTACTGCCGCAAGTTAACTCAGGACATGTTGCGTGGTAAAAGACAAGAAAGTAATGTCATGACTAAATAGACGATCGAACACGACACACTAGTATTCGGAGGGGTCTAAGGGTCTAATACTATTAATCTAATACTAGCATTGAATATAATAATTCCATTAAGTTAATCAGTAATAATCGTTCAATTTAAGTAAACGCACTGCACATCCACTTAAAGAAGCTTGCTAGATACACCAAGCACGACACTAGAACTAACGACATCGCATGAGACAACATGGGGATATGTCGAATGCAGCTGGAAGTCATTGATTGTTGCCGCTACAAGTGGTGGGAATACGTGTGATACTAACGGATTAGTTCTGACAATGCTTTGGTGAGCCTTGTTCAGGCAGCGTTGTTAGAGGGGGGCAATGTTCAGCTTTAACGGAAAATATTTGAAACGAAGAACCTGATCGAATGACAGGTTCTAAACATGCGTCTTGGCTGTCTGCTAGCTTATTTTCCGCCTCTCCCCCCCCCCCCTCAGTTTTGCTGGTTTATTGCCAGTATTTCGGATGTGCTTGGTAAATGTTAACTAACGCCAGGTTTATCGTCGGACAGGCAAACCTGGGAACAGCACACATACAGTCACCCACTTTCTCCCTTACCGCACGTCTCCCTGTGTACGAACCTTACACGTACCCGTATCTCCCACGTGGAAAAGGCCGGCCTGAATGGCCACGTGGCGCTGGCTGCCCCAGCTGGACACGTGATGATGTCATCCACCGAGTCGCGCACGGTAAAGGATAACACGGATACCGATGTCAGCGGATCTGAAAAGTAGTCAGCTATAAGGGTGCCGATAGTGTGGTGTTAACGCGTCTGCGTTAACCGCTGCACGTCTAGGAAACCGGAGATACGGGGTTCGATTCCCCGCGGTGCCCGCGCTTCCTACCAGGGTGGGAGGCAGACGACGCCACATAGCCTCAGTAGCTGAGTGCGTCGTAAAGGCTCAGTGACGGCGATGACGATAAAAAGGGGTCACGAGGCAACCTGACGGGCACCAGCTTGGATATGCGGTGCCAGTGACACTATTGCGTGGGACGCATGTGGGGAATTCCTGTGAGCGATGAGACGGGTCACGCGACGCTCCCTGAAAAAGCGATGAATGAAATAAACCGCCTCAACATGATAGGTGCCTTTAATCGGTCGGGCATACGCAGGTAGGGGATGACTTCCGGTAAGTAGTCTAAACATCGTATCTTCCCCAGCCTATGCACGCCGATCTGCAGCAATCCAGCACGGTCCAGGCCAGGGGTGCGGGCAGGGTGTCACGATGCGAGAGGGTGGGAGTGTGGCACAACTAAAAAATATGGGATGAAAACCGTGCTAAATTTCTTGAGCACTACGAAACCATCGCATGTTTTTCATCTTACTATTCCTAAGTGCCAACCTGGAATTTCGATTGCCAGCATTTCGAAACAGCATCTCTATAAACGCCATAAATTTGGTATGGGGGGGGATGAGCACGTGCCCTCGGGGGCCACTATGTGCGTTCTCCCCTGGCCACGGTGTGCCGCGGGGCGGCGGTGATCACGTGCGACTCACCCCGCTTGCTGGGCATCACCCTGGGGTCCTGTTTGGCGATCACCAGCGCCGGCAGACTGCAGGTGCCGCTCAGGCTCGGGCTGAGCCCGGCGATGGTCGTAATGCCCGCTTGCGGTGCGGCCATGCTCAGTCAGCACGGGCGTCCAGGTCCGGGAGAGTCACCTGTTGCGCTGCCTGGGCTTCTCTCTGTGTGGTGTGGAGTGGTGCCGATCTGTCCGGATCGGGACGACTGGCTGGCCAATATGCGCTGCTGCATTCACCTGGATGCCCAGTAATACCCGAGCGGTCGTAATGTCGTGAATACTATTACACAGACGAACTGTGCAGTCAGGAAGCGGCGGGTTGGGGAAGGAGCAGGGGCCACTCTGCCCGATTGAGATAAAATTTGATGTTCCATTGTGACGCCTCATGGAAGGCGATGCGGCAGTTCAGAGGAAGTCGGAGGGGCCGATACTTTGTAATGCGGATTCTGGGTTCAGTTCAACACGCCATACCACCCATTTCGGTCCAGTCACGTCCCTCTCGCTCTCACCCGGTCTCGTCTAGTGTCGTTCGGTCCTTCCAATCTCCCCTAATGTTGTAATTTGTTGTCAAGAGCAGCAACTTCGTCACCGCGCATCACCGCCCACACCGAAGTTCCGTTCTGGAACTGGAAGGTGTGGGCGGTAGGATCAATTCGGGGTATCAGGCACCTACAGGTAGACAAATGTAATACTATTCCTCCTTGTTGTACAGGATATCTCGATATCATTGTCGTAAAGATTTTCAGGCAAAATTAGGCCCAGAGAAAAGGTGGGCTTACGCCAGTGATACCAGAACTTTCTCACAGGGCGGTCACAACTCCAGCTATCCCCATAAAGAAGGAAGAAAAAGCATGGAAGAAATGTCCGTGGACTTACGAAATATTCTTTGTTTTTACTCCGACCATCAAAGTTTCAGTACAGCAAAAACGGCTCTAAAACGGCCTTCGTAGGTCTTAAACAACGCTCCACAGCCCGGGACCCAATCACAACCCTAAACGTAAACAAATGCAACAGTGAGCCACATGTCTTCTGCTCGTAAAACCAAAACATGACCGCCGCAATCTCAAGAACTTTTTTTATTTAACTTGCGAATATTCAGACAGCATTCAACAATAGCAGCCCGTAAAGGACGTTATGTTGTCAGCGAATATCAGCCTCCTGTCGCCGCACGCGAGACTTAAGATCATTCACGTCAGCTTTCTTCGAACTTCAAAAAACTTCCGTGCAACATTTTTGGGCATGGATCACCGTGGTGAGTGGTAGGATCGGCCCTAAACACTTCTACGAACCTTCGTAACAGCCCAGTCATCATTGTAGCGTTTCAGTTTTTTAAGAGGAACGTAAGCATAACACAAATTAAGGTCTACTCCGGCCACGTGGAAGAGCACCTGACGTTGATCAGCCGCCCCTCGCCCGCTCGCTTCCTCAAGGGAGGAAGCCACTGCCACATTCGCCTCCCCCCCCCCCCCCCCCCCATGTCCACTTTCTTGGTCCTTAACACCAACCCCAAATTCGCGTACTTTGAATAGAAGAGATACCGACTGCACTAAAATCCAGTTGACACCATCTACATTCTTGCAAGCTGCAACTTGCATCCACACTCAGCCACGCCCAGTTCGCACTCGCTGATCGGAGAACCACAGCGCAGGCGCAGCACAAACATTCGTTCGCTGCTGCATGCGCCTTTCATTGTCGTATGTCATATAATGTTCCTAAGAGAACGTGACGATACCATTTAACAAATTGTACACAATGGTTTATTCACACGGTGATGAAGACACTCGCGTATTATTTCTTTCTTCACCTTTTCCCACCACGTCCCTTACCGCCCCCACGTCCCGTACCACCCTTGGCGGGCCTTCCGCTCTTCGCGCCCTTCCCACCCTTCTGCATCCCCCTCATGTCCTTCTTCATCCTAGGGTCAACCACCTTGTAGTGACCTTTGACACCAGCCGGCCGCTGCGCGCGCTTGCCATGCGTCGTGCTCTTCTTCGCCACCACGTATTTCACCTCTTGCTGCTTCTTGCTGCGCGCACGCTTGTAAATCTTGCGCAGCTCGCGCGCCTTCTCCATCGTAGTCGTGTCCTCCTTTTCGACCACAGCCTCCGCGCGGTGCCTGGCCTTCTCCATGCGCTTCTGGAGACGCCGCTTCTTGCGCGCCTTGGCTTCGGCCACCTTCTTGATGGGCCGCGCGTCTACGTCCTTGAGTCGCTCTTTGTACTCGGCCAGCAGTGCCGGGTCCAGCTCCGGCCGCCAGCGCATGTGGCGCTTCTCGTCATCCACGAACCAGGCCGGCAGGTTGACGTCGTCGAAGGCGTAGCGGTTGTAGCTGGCGTCGACGATGTCGCGGCGCGCCTTCTTCGAGTGAATCATCATGGAGCCGAGCGTGAGCCCCTCAGCGTCCAGCTTCACCACCCGCTTCTTGGCGCTCGGTGCCGCTTCTGACGGCTCGGCCGTGCGCTTGCCGCGCTTGGCTGACCGCTTACCACGGGGTTCATCGTCCGAGTCGCTGTCAGTGTCGCTGTCTGACTTGGCGTCATCGTCACTCTGTGCTGTGGCGTCAACTTCCTCCTCCTCGCTATCACTGTCAAATTTATTCAAGTCGGCATCTTTCTCTTTTGCCGCTGACTCTTTCGAGAGCCTTTTAGTGGACTTCTCCGCCCTCCCCTCTTCCACTTTACTACCACTAAACAGAGTGCCACCTTTTGCTTCGTGAGATTTGATGGCCTGCTCTAGTTCAAAATCCTCGTCTGCCTCATCCTCGATCGACTCGAACACGTCTTTGTCAAACCACAACTCCGCTTTGCGCGCTCGTCGTTCCAAACTTGACACTTTACCGCCCTTCGTCAGCTGAATGTCATCCACCAGCAGCTGAGGCTCTTCTTCGTCTTCCTCCTCCTCGTCTGACCGGTCTTCACCATCGGCTTCCAGCCCGAGGCCATCCGGATCTTGAGCATCATCGTCGACCCACTGCAGTTCGTCCTCATCAAGACGATCTTCCACACTCGGATCGAAGTTCCCCATCGCATCACGAGTTTCGTGGTCGCGAGCAAACTGCCTCGTCGTCGGGCCTTCTTCATGTTCAACAGCCTCCTCCTCCACAGGAATGTCATTAAGGTCAGCATCGACAGCCTTACTGGGATCTTTAACGTCACGAAGCGCAAACAGGTCCTGTTCAGATGTTTCTACTCTTCCCTCTGTTGAGTAACCAGAGGCGCGAAGCTTCTCAAGAATTTTTCGTCTCTCTTGAAGAAGCTTCTTTCTTTTCTTTTTCGCTTCAGCATGCTGCTGGGCTTTTAAATCGGCGATTTGCTGATCTATTTTCGCCAGCTCATCCTCTTCGTCATCCTCGGATTCTTCTTTTTTGGGCGGTTCTACTTCCTCCTTCTTTTCCAGCTGCTCCTTTAACTTCTTTCGCCACTTGATCAGTGCCTTGATCTCTGCTTTACCGAGCACTTTGATATCCTCGCAACTTGAACGGATTTCGTCAGTAGTAGAAGGATGATTGGCGATGACATCGGTGTCAAAGACGATCTTGCTAGCACCTTGCAGCATTTCCAGGTGGTTCGGCTTGCTAATGAACTCTGACGCCGGCAACACGCTGAAGACGGTGGCCTCACCATCAGCATATCCCACTGCCTTCTCCTTTTTCTGCGGTCTTCCCAACACCAGCTGCGTCGGCTTCTCCTCATTCAGCTCACCAAAGACGTACTTCGAGCTGAGGAATTTGGGGTCAATCTTGTCCGGTGCCTTGAAGCCCTGACACACCACGAAAATCTCGGCCGACTCGTTTCGAGACGCCTGGGGCTTGGTGGCGTGCACCTTGTTGAACAGCATCTTGAACACCCAGATCAGAGCGTGGTAATCTTTCGAGCGGAAAATCTTGGTGACGAACCAGCCGCCCTTACGAAGAAACTCAGTGGCCAACGCCAGCGCTGACAGCGTCAGCTCGGCCTGCTTGAACGCGTCGTGCAGCCAGGACTTGCCGACGTTTGGGGCGCCGTCGTTCATCACCACGTCCGCCCTCCACGTCTTGAGCTCCCGCTTCAGCGCCTGCCGACACTTATCGGTGGTGATGTCCTCCTTCAGCGCGATGCAGTTCGGTATGGGCTTGATGGGCACCAGGTCCACGCCCACGCAGATGCTGGAGATGGGCATGTTCTGGCGCGCCACCTGCATCCATGATCCAGGCGCGGCGCAGAGGTCCACCACCACGCGGGCCTTCTGCAGGAACTCAAACTTGCGGTTCAGCTGGATCAGCTTGAATGCGGAGCGAGCGCGGAAGCCGGTCTCCTTGGCCAAGTGATAGAACTTGTCCTTCCGCTGCTTGCCAGTTTGGTGTTTGACACCCATTGTGGTGCCTTAGTGACACTGAAAGAACAAGAAGAACTTCAGTTCCAGCATGTGACTTACAAGTGTTACATTCTAAAACTATGCCCATCATGGAGCAAGTGCATATGAGTGCAAGTGCATTTGAGCATATAGGAGCAAATGATTCACATAGGCTTTCATTACTTGCGCAGGATCAGTCAATCAACATGGGGTCAATCAACATGGGACTGGGTGGCAGCCAACTCAGCGAACCAGCCCCCATGTCTCAGGCCTGGAAAATTGGCTACCCAGGTCAGATGTCAGGGCTCAAAATCAAAGGGTTTCCTATAAGAGTTGAACAACATATTTGCAGACATTGGCAAGGAGACAGAAACTGTGTTGGATGACTTCATATTTCACCTTCACACCAAACTTGATGAATTTGGATAGACTGACTGCAGGGTTTTCATGTGGAACTGTATCTTCCCAAATTATATCCCTGAAAAGCTATGTTGGTGATGCTGTTTGGTAGAAAAAGGAGAAAAAAACCTTGGTTATGGTTAAAAAAGTAAGAAGAAAGAAGTAAAGAAGTAAGTAAGAAGGGGCTGAGCCCAAAATTAAATGCTAAGTAGTTATTCATAGTAAAAAGACAAGATGAGTTTAACTGATGCTGGTCAATGCCACCACCTGTCTTGCACTGCTATACTCAGTTTATCCTCCATTACAAAACATAAGTCATGACAACATCTCATTGGTACTAGGCCAGCTTTTTGTGTACTCAATCATGCCAATTTTGTGCTAGCAGGTAATATTCACCACCTTGCCCATTCACATAAATCCATCTACTGCACCCAAACTCTGAGACGCCTATGCCACAGTAGTATGCTTTATCTGGTGCATAATATGAAAAACTGGCCATATAATTTGGAAAACAATTTCACTTATTTTGGCTTGAATTTCTTAGGACAACAGTGGACCTGAATTAACCTAGCATCATCATCATTAAATGAAGCATAGGCCCTCTAAATGCTGTATTTGGTATACTTGCATCAAACTATGAGCTTTCTGAAATATGGCATGCATGAGCTGAAATTGCTCCTTGCAGGGTCAGCGTATACATTGCTACCTCATGTTGAGAGAGAGCATTGTACATCAATCATGATTTTTAAGGCAGAACATATTGTAATTAATCATAAAACAGGTCTCTAAGCTCTCACCTTGGAGCTTAAATAACTAAGATAGCAAACATCTGAGCGCAAACATGCAGCAACCACAGGGTACCCCGCGCCATTTCTACATGTGATCGCAGCATTACTGCATGATCACAACATTACTGCATATCAAGAACCATAAAAATGTATGAGGCCAAGGTAACAAGAATTCAATAAAATGTGTCTTGCATATCCAAGCAGTCTTCCATATTGTATGTAGATTGGTCAACATGGTGGGGAAATATGACGTTTTTGCGTGGGAATGAAAAGCAAAATGAGAATATGGCAGCTAAACAAAACTTCTTAATACAGTACATATATATGACATGGAACATGGATGCCAATGGGACACTGAATTGAATGGGATAGGGTGGGGGTCAGGTTAGGTTAGGTGAGGTTAGGTTAGGTTGTTAGGCTAGGCTAGGTTAGTTAGGTTAGGCTAGGTTAGGTTAGGTTAGGTTAGGTCAGGTCAGGCTAGTTAAGGCTATGTTCTGGACTATTCTGGCCTGTCTGTTTCATAAACGTACCTGGACGCGATAAGAAACGTTTTTCATTGCATTATGATCGTTACCTTAGTCCCACATATTTTTATGGTTCTTGATAAGCAGAAATATTGTAATTACACAACGGCAACACAGAAATGGCGCTGGGGAGTCGAGGCGGTGGGGTGCATGCGCTCGGGAGCTTGCTGTCGTAAATGTTAAAACTTGAGGGTATGAGCATGAATCTACCTGTTTTAAGATTATTTATGATATGTTCCACCTTAAACATGACAAACAGTGTACAATGAATTTTTTCTAACATTAGGTAGCAATGTATACCACCACCAAAAAGATGTCATGTAGCAGGTGATGTGATAACCACAGAAAATAATGCAGTTTTCCAAGTGCTGTTAGCTGGGAAATAATGAATGCATGGTAGCTTGAACTGTACTGAACAAATATGGTGCAAGCATTGGTATTAATGTGGGAATAAATAAAGTCCTTTCTTTGATGACAATTCATATTGAATGCAATGTCTTTTATCTGGTAAAGGTACTGATAACTGAACGGTTTGCCATGCTTTGCAGCCCGACCCTGTTCACGCATGGACTGATGCAAATGTCCACAAAAACAGGCATACCGACTCCTTTGTAGCAGCAATTCGCATAATTACCTCCTTTGAAGAGCCTCAGCAATATCAACCTGCCTTATGCCCAATACTGATGGCAGTTCTCGATGCCTTCGCGAAATACCTCACGTCCTCAACCCTCCGCCGATGATCAGTGCCTTACACGGCACTACCGCTAACAATAGCTAGCTCATTCGTCCCATGTGCGTGGACCATTCGTAAACGTCGCATAAGCGCCCTTTATGAATGAAAAGGCCATTGCTCCAGATTTAGTTCCTTTACTATGCATTTTAAGTGTAGATGGAAAATATAAAAATGATTCTGTTTGTGATTATCATAACAATTTCATTAGCACGGATCTTTTCAGTTTAAACTTCAAGATATCGAGAAAAACTAGAAATACAGGAAAATCATTTTTCATGCTGTTGAAGGTAGGCACAGAGGACTTTAGCATTACGGAATAGTGAAATTTGGAAGCCAAAGCCCCGGAGCACTCACGACGTGCAAACGGCAGCGCTGAGCGAAAGGGCGTTTGGGCGAGGAGCCCGTGATGCTTTGTTTACTCGCATTTCATTCACCGCTTGGATGACAGTTAAGGTAAGCTTACAGCCAGGATCACTCATAACTGACAATGAAAGAGTGCGGTGTGCTTGCTGTGGCGCCGGGCATGGCTAGAACTTCCGTGTAACCTACCTATCGGGGTGGACTCGAGCCTCCGTGTTTCTGAGTTGTTACACTATGCTTCAGATTTCGTGTTGTAAGATTTGCTTGTGACCGTATCCGTTCTCCAGTTTTCTCGAGAAGGCTCTTCCCTCACGTAAGGTTAGGATTGAGATAAATTTTGTTTCAAGGAAATGCTTCATGAAAAGCGCCTAGCTAGATTTGAACTGACTGACCCAGGCACCTAGCGCCTGGAAGTCATTTCCGGATATCTTGGGTGCAGCTGATACAGACACATTTGCTCTGGCATGAAATGAGTAATGGAACCTGGTCGCATATTTTCCTCGCCTTGCGTTTGGCGTATACTAAAGCTTATGTTTTGTGCCGACAGAGTGCTCTGCGTGCGCGGTGCGGGCGCCGCCGCTCCTGCTGCCGGCGCCCGGCTGGTGGTGGGCCGCGGACGCCGTGAGTCAGTTGTGTCACGGCGCCGGGGTGGTGACGGTCAGTCAGTTGCTGCCCGTACGTCGACCGCTGCAGACGCCCCGCCAGACGCGGACACACAGAACACGGCAAGGTGAGTCCAGTCAGAAAGGCGCAGATGAGCGAGCATGGGGGATCAGTGTCGCGGTGGTCAGGTGGTCCGCACTCATTACTGCGTGAGTGGCGTGACCGCTATGACATTAGGAGGGAGTTGTCGTCGCAGGCCGGTTTCCACGTGACCCAACCTGCCTGGTTTCCGGGCGGCGCTACCTTCTCATCAGTCTGCGCTGTATCCAGCGCTGGCTGTCTGATCAGTCCATCATGTATTGCGGCTGATTGCCTCCCGACGTCCGCCGGGCGGCCTGTGACGTCATGACCGGTCCTTATCTCTCCGTCGCGGCCACCGCGGGCGGAGCACTGACCGCGCCCCTCGGCGGCAGCCCCCGCCCTCTGCGTCACAGCCGGGTCACGGCCCCGCCGCCTCCCCGCGCGGGGAGCGGTCTGGTGTCGGCGCTCGCTGTGTCGTGGCTCCCACGCCGCCGACGCCGGCTCTCGGCGACACCCGCTCTCACAACCGGCCGGCCGTTTGTGGCCTTGACAGTGGGGCTGACAGGCCGGAAATGGCGCATTGCTCTGCACAGCAAATGGTGGCCCGGGGTGGGCCATTTCTCGTCGGCGCGGTGCGGAGCACAGCATTGTCCGTTGATTAACTGCTCGCGAATGGGCCGCCACGCAATTTGCTCGATGCAGTTTGTTGGTGACAGTCGCAATGCTTGAGACGCGGGATGGAGCCAGGCTTGGTGATTTACACCCCCGCTTACTTGGGGCGCCTTCATTACGCGGAGAATCACCCACCCACCGCTGGCCTCCGTCGGCCACCCGTGGTCTCAGCGGTGGAATGGCCGCCAAGCCTCCGGCGAGACGCTGCAAGCGGCGCTCTCTTGAGCTCCGTGGCGTGCGGTTCGATGCTCACCCGAGAGCATCGGATCAGCACTCCACGTGTGCAGTCCAGTTCAGAGAGCTCTCTGAGGCGCTAATCACGAGTGGCCAGCACCGACGTCGGATCACGGCTGTTCCTGCACCGCATACTTGTGCGTCGATCTGAGAAAATCACTGCTGTGAGCCGGCCATTCACACAGGCGGAGGGGGGAGGGGGGCAGGGGGAACCCGACGAGAACAGGTGGCCCACTCCGGCAGCATTCCAGAGTGCCTGGCCGCCTCCATCCGTGCGAGTGCCGCGCCAGAGTCCACTCCCTCCGCCCTGCAGAGGTCGATGCTAGCGGAGCACCTCTCACCGGACCGGGCGGGTCGCTCGGTCACCGGCGCTGCTGCGGCGCGCTCGCCGCTGTTTTGTACCGCCCGGGAGGCGGATAATGGGCCACGCTGCCGGTCGGGCCGCGTGCCTTTGTCCCCTCCCCGGCGCCCCCCCCCCCCCCCCGGACGCGTCACGCGGAGGGAGACGTCCCTGGCTGCGGTACCTGGTCGACAAAGCAGGTGGGGTGGCGAACGGAGGGCGGGCGCGCTCCGTCGCTAATATATCCCGGCCGGCCGGAGGACGTATTGTAATGCGGTGAAAGGGCTCAATGAGCAGACCGTGGCCACTTGAGAACGGCAGGGGGTGGGCTGGCGTCAGGGAGCGGGCGGTGGTGTCGCAACACCGCCGCGGCAGCCACTGTGGGCTGACAAGTGCTCAATCTGTAGTGGCGGTCAGGACTCTGGCGAACTGTAAATTATTCGCGAGCGCGCTCCGGCGACCGCGTTGGCGGTTTAAAGGACGCCTTGGGCTACATTGGGTGCGGTGTCACTACATGGTGCATGCCATGAACGGCATTAACGGCTCATACTGGGATATGACTCACGTCTTCAACGCCACCTGTGGAACGCGTGCAACGGAATGCATTAGCCAACTAATTCTAACTCTGAAATAATGCGTGTGGAACAGTGATATACTGGTTAGCCTCACATCGTATGCTGTCGCTTGGGCTTTGGCGGCTCGTTGTCAGCCACGTAGTGCGCACAAATGGCCACATTTTACATCTGTGGAGCTCCAAGTCAGTGCGCGCCGTCGGTAGCACCCGAAGCGGGCGCAGCTGGCGACTCAACTCGACCCGGAGCGACCCGCGCCGGCCGCCGTGATGGCGATACCGCACGGTCGACCGTGCCCGGAAATATACCAAACTAAAAATGGGACCCACACGCCGCCTATACAGAGCGGCCCGTTAGCGCAGCTCTGAAAGGCGCCACACGAACGGGGAGCGGCGCATCGCGCTGCGGGCCGGGGCGTGCCGGCCGTGCGGGGCGCGTGCAGGGTCCGCCGGCTGCAGACCCGGCCGGCCCGACACGACGGAGCGGGTCACGCGCTGGCCCCGGTCAGCTGGGACGTCTCGCTCGGTCGCGCCGTGTCACGTGGACCGGCTCAGTGGCGCGTACCGCGACAGCCGCTCGGCAGCTTCACGAGCCGTCGCGTAGGCCGATCGATCAACGCTGTTGTGTTTTGTGGTCATGGTTGGGTGCGTGCGGACGGTTCGCGGTGGTTCCAGCTCCGGGGACCGACGTAGCTCAAGTGAATATAGCCGACCATTACACACGGCGGCGGGCGCCTAGTTTTGTCCCCGGGCGCGCGCGCCATGTCATGCGCCGCGCTCAGTTTTGTTTGTCATCCTCTAATTCGGGCGGAGTCGCGCATGGATGATCTCATGGGCATTGTATGTCAGTTTTTGCCCAGCGAGGGCGCTGGTCCGTAATCCATTTCATGGTGGAGGAGGACGCAGGTCCGGGTGGAAATGATAATTTCTGGAACAGCCGTGTGAATGGGAAAGCTCAGCGTGTCGGCTCGAAGCTTTCTGTTTAACAGTGCTACGAGGGCGTTCACGGAAGGCGCGGCCCGTGTCCCGCGCCGCCGACACGCCACGGTCCGACTAGAAACCGTGCCCCGGTCCCGAGTCGGGCTAATGTCCGCGACACACGGGGACGGACGTCTCTCCGTCAGACGGGGGGGGGGGGGGAGGGGGGAGGGGCGGACCGCGGCGGCGCGCGCGCCGGCCACCGCTGACCCGCCCGCGGTCAAGGCGAGGCGCGTCTCATTATGTATGGGTACGGCACGGGCCGGCCAAGGTCGCGCTGTCCTTCCTTCCTCGCGCGCGCGCGCCGGCGGCCGGCGGCTAGCGACGGGAACGCGTGCCCTAGGCCGCCCGGCCCGCGCTGGGACCGAGGTCCCGGCTTGGACTGGCCGGGTGCGGAGTTAGCTGCAGGCTCGCTGCTGGAGGTGCGAGTAGGTGCACCTCTCGCCGACTAGTCTTAGAGTTCGTGTCCGATTCGGAGCGAGTTGACGTTAGCTGGTGTATTCGGCATAGTATGAACTGCGGGATCACCGTCATGAACTACACGCTTTTCGTTGTTGAGGCGGGGGGCTTCTAAAGGAGAAAAGACATAAGTTGGCTCTTGTCGTGTTTGGAAGTGAACTCGGTGCTCGGGGTACGGGTAATATCTTGTATGCGTTGGCTCTATCCCCCAATCCATAAAATGCTGGGTCTTTACTCGGTGACGATGCAGAACTTTCAGCTTGCCTGGAGTTGAAAGCAACGCCATGGTGCCGGACGCGTGCGGCGTTCGTCGTACGACACCGCGCCATACCCACCTCTCACCCGCCTGGTCTGTGACTGAATGAACCCTGCCCCCTGGCGCTCCCGCGCCGCTGCCGTCCGTCGGCGGAGCAGATTCGGTGTGATCCGCGGGTGGCCGGCCGGGTCCTGCCGCCGCGGCCGCGTGCCATCCATCCGGACCTGTCACCGGCTCGGCCCGGGGTCGCTTTAAACGGCCGAGGACGCCGAAGCCGGCCGGGGTCGGGCCCCGCCGAGGTAGGCGGGCGGCGCTGCGGTGAAACCCAGGCTGTGATGCAGGCGCGTGTTTGTTTTACCTCGCGGCTGGTGCGGGGTTGGGTTACGTCATCGCCGGGGCCGGTCGGAGCGGCTCGGGCTCGGGCTGTCTATAGCTGTTTGGGGATAGTTCGCCCGGTGGGTCGTCAGCTGTCGGCAGTCGACGCCGGAGGACGGCCGTGAGCGGCGGATCCATTCTCTCCGCCGAGCGTCGACGCAGGCGTCGCGGGGTGCTGGCCGTGGCCTCTTGTCCTCGGCCCTCCTCACGGACGTACGTCTCCGGGCGCGCCATTCCGGCGCCGTTTCCGCGCGCGGCGCGCCGGGCGCCTGTCGCCATGGCGACGGCGGCGCGTGCGGTCTTGACCCGGTGCCGCCGGTGCGCCGCTGCACCGCTGACCCAGAGCGGGCGGCGCCGCGCAGGCCGGCTCAGGCTCTGCACGCTGCAGACGGCCTCGGGCGCCGCCGCCGCTGCGTGAGCCGGGAACGTCAGCCCGCCGCCGCCGGCGCGGCCGGGCTGGGCCGGACCGAACCGAACTGGACCAGGCTGGACCGGACCAAGTGGACCGGGCTGACCGTGGCGGACCGGGAGTGGGACATGCGTGCGGGCGAGGCGAGTGACCCGGGAGGCCCCCGGTGGGACGGGGCCGGTCCAGCTCGACGTCGGGATGTTTCCGGACGCGTGTAGCCGCTGTCGGTCATCAGCGTCACGTGCAAATTGTCCTGTCAAATTGTGTCACAGCCAGACGCTGCCCACGCTGTGAGCCGGGTCGCATGCGGGCTGGACGTTTGCGTGCGTCGAATAGTTCCAGGAGAGGGTTATCACTTTGATCGGGATGGGAGTGAGCGCCGAATAAGGCCGGTTGGAAGCGGGACCGTGGGCGTGTTTATGTGTCCGATCGGCTCTGCCGAGAGGGTGAGGTCACGGATTTACTCATCGTCGGGGCCAAGCTCAGACGGCCGGTGTTTATTTGCAGGGGCGCGTGTGTACAGGTCGGTGTGCCCCGCCCCGGCCGGCGTGACGTTCGTGAGGCGGCTCCTGACCTTACAGTTCACGGACCGGTTTCTGCTTCGCTGGCGCTGCAGCGGTTGCCGACGCGGCCAGCGAGCGCCTGGCTCCCCGTGACTGAATAGACCAAACAACGAAGGAAACGTGCGCGCCGTTTTCGGTCGTGTTTAGCCATTCGTGCTTTCTCCGTCAAGACAAATAGAGGGCGAGCGG